TTGACAACGTCGAAGAATATGTCTATCGGGACATTGCATCAAATTAGGCAAAGAAAATCAAACCCCCGAAGTAAACAGACGCGTTCGTTTGACATGGGCAGCCAAGGGTAAACTGTCACAGGTATTGAGAAATCGAACTATCCCAATAAATTTGAAAAGAAAGGTCTTCACTGCCTGCTCATTGCCCGTGATGACATACGGAATGGAAACCACGACACTCACTGTTGAATCAGCTAACAAGCTCAGGACCACCCAAAGAGCCATAGAACGGATGATGTTGGAATCGAAAGAAAGTTGGAAAATATGCTTCAGCAGAGATTTTATTAACGATGTGCCACTGCCCTCAAGGAACACTGGGGAGAGACCATTCGATCCAGGACTTTTCGAGACATCGAGATCCAGAATTTTTCTCTGTTTTCCTCGACCGTGAAAAGATGACCCGAGAGGTATGTTCCAAAAGGGACTGAGTAGTCTTCTTTGATATCAACATCCTTATGGTCAGAGTAAAAATTCTTGAAGTGTGTGGCAAAGAGTTTAGCAATCTGTTGAGAGTTCGAAGAACGGATATTGTTATAGTGCATCTGATTCGGCAAGCCTGCATCTGGCTTCAAAGATCTTCCAAATGACCAGAAGTGTTACACATTTGACGGAATTAAGTGCTGAGCTTTGGTAACATGTAACAGGTAGCACATGCCACTATGGTACTTCACGTCTTTCCGGGATTCAGAGTAAGCTTCTGTACTTCTAGAGTCGATTTTTATGTGCAATTAACTTTTTTAGCTCAGAGTTGAACCAATTGGGATACTTGTCGGCCCTGATGGTTTTTTTGGGAACATACCCATACTGATTAATTCCCTACTGTATAACTTCGTACAAACTAGCTACCGCTTTGTTAGAGTCACTATTACCTCTATGACTATTGCTTAAACACAGATTCCAGTCAATACTGTTAAAGTAATTGTTCAGTTCCGTATAGTTCACTTGTTTAAACAGATAGATAGATAGAGTAGGATCTTCGGCTGTTAGCGCTTGTTGTATCTCTTAGTTCTTGATCTAAGACCTACATTTAAATTTTGCGTTTGAGTATCGGTTAGAGTTTACACCTTCCGGGAGCCAACTCATTTCCACAATGTGAATTAAGAAATTCTGTAGATATATTTATCTAAAAATGTCTCACACAATATAGCCGTTAACGACGACATGCGTGTAGATCACAATTAGTCTTAAGATAGGTAACCTGCGTCAGCGCAACAACTCCCCCGATCGGACCATCAATAACTATTCCCAAATCAAAACAATACTGAAGGAATACCAAATTACTTGTCCTTCAGCTTACACAGTTATTGAAATTGACAAAGCATTATGCCATCTAACCCAAAAAGTAATCATCTCTCTGGAATTCCGAAATACACTAGTGTCAGCACCAACCCATTAGTATACTATCATATCTAACTCAGCAACTATTCCAGAAAAGGAATATGCTAGAAAGACAAGCATTCAGGACAGTAGACTTAATGAAAAAACTATAGCTTTAGACACAAAAATGAGTAGTGGGGAAAGTCTCCTAAGCGGCTTATCTTCCCACGATAATTCTCTAAAATCAACAAATAACAAACTTTTCTAAAGGAAAATAATTCTCATCTCCAGGTTCCATAGCAGAACAGGACTACTGTTCTCAAGTCGCGAGAGAGAGGAGAACATTGACAAACACTACAGAAAAATCTTTAGAATGTTGATCCCCCTCTTGACTCAGTACCCACCATCAGTCATGATCGATACCGTAAATTCATAAATGTATTGCTAAAATAAATAATAATAAAATAATAACTGGCGTGGTGTAGCAAAAGCCTGAAATATATCCCTAAATTTCATCAGCATCCACTAGTGCTAACAGAAAATTCATTCCAAATTTTGCTGAAAAAACAGTCCCCTTAAACAAATTATGTAGAAAATACGCTACATTCGAATGGACAAAAGAGTGTGAAAGTTCCTTCAATTTCCTCAAAAACGCACTGAGCGGACCCCCAGTTCTAGACTACCCTGACTTTTCGCATGAAAATGAGTTTATACTTCAAACAGACGCTTCAAACACAGCTATTGGTGCAGTTCTTTCTAATAAAAATAACAAACCAATTGCATATGCGAGTAGAAGTTTAAACAAAGCCGAAACCAGCTATCCTACGATAGAAAAAGAACTCTTAGCAATATTTTGGGCAGTACGACTTTTTTGTCCATATTTATATGGACGCCACTTTAAAATACGGACAGACCATAAACCACTTCTTTACCTTTTCAACCTTACAGACCCTTCTAGCCGTTTAACAAAATTCCGCCTAGGATTAGAAGAGTATGATTTTCACGTTGAGTATGTGAAAGGATGTGAGAATGTTACCGCCGATGCTTTATCGAGAATAGTAATACCGTCTGAAGAACTAAAAGGCATGTACGGGAAAATAATTGCTGTTATGACTAGAGTACAAACTAAAACAATATTAGATGAACAAGATAATTCTATGAATGTTCGGCTTGATCAACCGGACGTCGTAGAAATTCTTAAAAAACCAAAAAATAGTACCGAATTAGTATTAACAACTTTTGAGGCAATTACGAAATTAGCTAAAAATATAACTTATAATGTGGGAAATTTTTTTTTCGTTGACATAGATTCAGTCTTGTACTATGTTAATCAAAATACTCGATCGACATCGGCGCGAGACGAGATGTTGAGAGATTTGATTGAAATAGGTAAGAATTTGAATATTTGTGAAGTAGTAATCATAAAAAATAAAAATAATGAAGAGTTTATACAATGGCTAGCCAAAGAAATAAAGAAAGACTCTAATTGGACGGTTCCCCGTTTATGTATAATAAAAGGCCTTGATAAAGATGTTAGGAAATTTGTATCAAGATGCGATAGTTGTCAAAGACTTAAACATACAAACCACTATACTAAGGAACCTATGTCAATAACGTCAACGGCAAGCTATCCCTTCCAAAAAGTATATTTAGACATTATCGGGCCTCTACCAAAAGATATTAACGATTTTTCAATTATTCTCTCACTTCAGTGCGAATTAACGAAATTTGTAGAGGCATATCCTATTATGTCAAAAGACGCGGAAACGGTTGCTAAAAGTTTTGTAGAAAATTTTGTCTTACGGTACGGAATTCCTCTGGAAATTGCAACTGACCGAGGCTCTGAGTTCATATCGATAACAATGAACGAGGTCTGCAATCTCCTAAAAATTAATCAAATACAATCAACCGCGTACCATCATGAAAGTATAGGTGCTCTGGAGAACTCACATAAAGTTTTAGGTGCGTATCTCAGAAATCAGACCCAGAATCATGACGATGCTTGGAGTACATGGATTCAATATTGGTGTTTTAGTTACAACACAACAGTTCATACGGAAACGAAATATACTCCATTTGAACTTGTATTTGGCCGAAATTGCCTTATTCCAAGTAATTTGAATAACACTATCGAACCCATATACAACTTTGACAATTATTCTATTGAACTAAAATACCGACTCCAAAAAGCACATGACGACGCAAGAACTAATTTAAGTCAAAAGAAAAACGAAAAACGACATATGACAAAACAGTTAACCCCAAAAACTACAAAAAAGGCGATACGATCTTGGTAAAAAACGAGACAGGGAATAAGATTTCAAGTCCATGTTTCTTAGGCCATATGAAGTATTAGAGAATTTAACTCCGAATGTAAAAATTTTGAAAAACAATAAAGTTGAGTTGATTCATTAAAACAGAACTAAATTATATATAAAATAGTTAGTATAGTAATGTAGGTATAGTATTAATCCCAACCAGGCCTGGTACTTAGTAATTAGTAATTTTCTGTTATAGGTATTGTAGCTTTCTTATAGAGGTATATTATTATTATAGTAATGGAAAAAATAGATAATTATGTAAAATTTAAAATTGTATTGATACTTCGCAGGATGTTGTGCTTTCCAGATTGCAGTTCCTGCCGGAGCAAAGGAAATTATTTTGCAATCAAGAATTGAAAAATTATTTTGAAAATCCGGGGGGAGGTGTAGTGTGGTACTCTACACCCTGTATAGTATTGTATCAATGTGTTATGCTTATACTAGAATATTTCATAATATATCCATATTGCTTAGCTGTTAAGTTTCGAGTTCGATGGCAACGAACTCATATCCTGTACACTTAGAATTAACACACGATTGAATAAACAAGTAATGAAGAAAACGTAGAACAGAGTTTGATTTAAGGGTTGAACTTCAGAGAAATACTAAAACAAGTCATTATAACATTGAAATAATGAGGCAATAAAAGAAATTCAAAAGTTCAAAAAGTGTATCCCAAATAAAAAGGTTGCTTAATCTATATCTAGATAATATTATACTTATAGGTACCTATCTGACGTTGCAGTCCATGAATCAATATTTGATTTATGTAAACACAATCTCGATTTTAGCAAGCTTTCAGTAGTCTCAACAAGTATGTTAACATACTTCCTAGATTTTCCACATTAAAATGATTAAACGTTAGGTATATATTATTCCTCGGCATTAATTTCATAAAAATGTTGTTATCAAAGTGTACCTACTTATTACGTTCGCATTCGACAATTCAATCAAAAATTGTTAACTGTGTTCCAATCGATCTAACGCAAAGCAATTTTATATTTTTGGTTTTTTTTTTTTTTTGCATAGGTAGTTTAATGCTTCAACATGCCTTCTTATTCCATATAAGTTTTTCATCATTTGCAATATTTGAAACTTTCCGCAACTTTTTCAAACGTCCCATTCGCCTGAAGCGGAATCTCCATAATTTCAATAAAAACAGACGGCACCTACATCCCTCTTCCCACCCCCCTCGTTCCGGAGTTTTCATCATAAAAACTCACTGCCGCCCCCGAACGGCGTGGGCGGTCCAAAAGCTCCACCCTCGAACTTCTGACGTCATCGGAGCGCGCGCCACCCCTTTATCTAGGTCACCTCTACCGAATGACCTTTTTGCCAAGCTGGATGGAATTTCGTCCAGACGGGATCCAGAATCAGTCGTCCAGCATCCCAGAGTTCTACGTCATGGCTTCCAACACTTCGAATTATAAACTTACCGCCTCTACGGCTAATTTGAAATATAATGGTAAGTCTGATTCATTTATATAGATTCCAGAGGTGTAGAAAGCTTGAGTAGAGTAGAAGTTTGATATTAGAGAGCAAATGAGCCAATTTTAAAATGCCTGGTGCGAGCAGTAACACGACAAATTTAAACTATTGTAGATTGTGGAGGATAAATAAAACATTGACATAAAATTTATTATTCATTTCATATACAATTGCAATTATTCGTTATTGATTATTGAACATGAACCATAGAGCGCTTGCGCGAGTTCCGCCATTTTGTGCCAAATTTTTCAAGCGCCATGTTGCTTTGTTAACAACGTTGACTGGTTCTCGATTTAATCAATACATATACTCCAATTTGTAATGATTCCAGATTACATCTCATAGCATATGACAATGGTTACCAAACAGAGTTCAGATCTCACTGAAGTTTCTGTTATGTAGGTACCCAAAAATATTTAGTTTACTAAAAATTAATTACCTAAGAATTTATTGAATAAAGGGATTTTAGATCTAGTCTACCATAGGATTAGGAAGGAAACCGAAAATATTTTGTGCTACGAACTGAGTTTTATGAGTCACATGTCTCAAGTTTCTTAAACTTCCAATTCCTGAGTTTTATAAATTGGTGTTTAAGTATTGGATGAAATTATATTCTGAATTTGGGATCCAAATAAAGAGGAAAGAGTTGCGATTCTGACTCCTGAAAATTCAGCATTTATTGAATTAGATAAATTATTGAAGTTCATTCCATGTACCCGCCAGCCCTAGAAACTTGTCATTGAATCTCACATAATCAGAAGAGCTTCTAGCTAGATTCAGATTTTTTTTTTCAACGTCCAGTGTGAACTAGGCCTTCCATATGCATCTGACATTAACTTATCCAGAAAAATGGAATAGTCGTTTCTAAAATGAAATTGGCTCTTAGGTGTGTTTAAGATTTTTTTCTCTATGGATAGTAGCCTGTAGTAACCCAACATGGCGAAAGTAATCTTCGAATCACAAAAATGTTCCAAAGGACGATAAGTTCCAAATTCGAACATACACTATTCTTTTTTTTTTCTGAACTATTCATTTCTTGGCGGAAAGTTCCAACTTTTTGACGATCACTCTCAACTTCTTCACGCACTTCTTCTATTGCATTCTGTCTAGTGTGTTCTTAAGAGATGAATCCGGTTTCGGGCTTCTTTTTCTTGCCTTTCATTCTGTGTTCGGGCTTCTTCTTTAATTGTTTTTTTTTTCTGTATTCGGTTTTCGTCTTCTTGTTTCTCTTTTTATCTCTGATCTTCTTGTTGCTGTAGAGGTGCTGTAAGCCGGTCCTGTTCCGTTCCTTGTCTTGTTTATCTCTGTGTATTTACTATAGAATACTGTATAATTATGAATTTCCAGATATAAAGGCCTGTGGCGGATTTCCGTCCAAATTGGTTCATATTTTTACTATAGAGATGTTATGATTCAATATTTTCAGTAATATTTGTGTGGTATTTGCTTTTATTTCCTTGGGTAGCTAGTAGCTACAAATGAAATTGTGGAGGGGATCTATTTGCAAATGAGAGAAACAACTGTAGTAAGGTTTTCATACATATGATTTTATTAACTATATATAAAATTAATAGAACCTAAAAAAAATACTTACCTAATCTAAAACTCCAAATTTGCCAACTGTTAGAGCCACCTGTTCTTATTTGCTAACAACAACTCCAGAGTGAAATCAAATATATTTTCTCATTTCAATATCAAACAACCTCCAAGATTTTCCCTTCATTAGACTGAGCGATAATATTCAATAAAAATATCATTATCAAATCCTTCTAATACTCCTGAAAATTTTTGAAATATAAATAAATCTTTAATAGAGCACTACTTGAATAGTACATAAAATATTCAACCAAAAATCATTTACTCGACAGAACAATATCATCATTACACATTTTCATTGAATCTTTTCAATACTTCTAATTATAGTTCTTAAAAACCCTTTTTAATTGAAGGATTTTCTAGGAAGTAATCATTTGTAACTGGGTTATCAAGAGCTATAATCGTACGGTTATAACCCTCACCACTGCTATCCAAAATCAAATAAATTACAATAACGTTCCATAGTCAATTCACTTTGAATCAGAGTCATTACAATAAAAGGTTACATGCTAAAGTCTTAAATTCCTACAATTTTTCCCTTACTTTCACTAAATTATTCTAATAAAATAAATCTTTTGATTACTTAGAGCATGCACATAATGTAGTTGTTATGAACAGAATATGAAATCAAAATGCCCCTTTGTGTAAACTAATCTATGAAATATGAAAAACAACAACTGATATTATGCGGTATGACAACTATCGACAGACAAAAACAAGTAAAAAATCAGTATCGACGTGTCAAAAACAAAGTGTACAGCAGACCATATTTAAATATTAAAGATTACAAAAATATTAATAATAATACTCCCACCTTTTGTTATGTCTGAATAATTTCAATGATACCAAGTTTCTTCCGAAGCTCCTGAAATATATTTTTTGGAAGCGATTTCGCGAATATATTTGCCTGCTGTTCTCATATATACAATATTTAAAGCTTCATACTTTTCTCTCACAAAGTGATACTGGACATCAATATGTTTTATCCTATTGTGAAATTCTGGGTTTAGTATTATTTAATTTCATGGATATCTGGTTATCAACATTTAAAGTTGTTGGTTTGATGACTTCTTCGTGAATGTCAACAACTAATAACTTTTGCAACCAGATGGCTTCCTTGGTGGCTTGTGAAGCAGCGTCGTATTCAGCCTCAGTTGTTGACAATGTAACTATTTGGCTGTCTCTTGTTATGGGTCCGTTGCATAACTTGTACATGCCATTTGTTGAACGTCTTGTTTCAGTATCACTAGCATAGTCAGACTCAGTAGAACCGCAAAGGTTTGTGTTTCCCTTTTTGTCAAACTCAATGCAATGATTTTTATTCAGGAATCTGCATGCCATTCCCACCGCATGGGAAATATCTGGCTTTGCAACAGTGGCTAGAAACATCAGAGAGCCCACTGCTTACTTGTATGGAACTTCAACATCTATCAGTTTGGGGTCTTCCATCACTGCTAAGTTTGTATGCTGATCTTCTGGCATGCTCACTAGGTTGGCATCTTCCATCGCAAATCGTCTTATCTTTTATTGTATAGCTTTACTGCTTTAAGAACATCTAATGACATCTTGCCTTGTTCTAAGTCACTTTTTATTTCGATTCCAACGAAATAATTTCCTTCTTGTGCAATTTTAATCTTAAAACAATCATTTATTTCATTTAAAACTGTATCACTGATGTTTGAGATGAGAATATCAAACCATCATCTACGTATATCACAAGCAGGACCTTGTGTAGACACATTTGTCTGATGCTGTCGAAGCTTTAAAACCAAAGTTTAGTAGAAAAGTGCTGAATTTCTTATTGCAACATCTTGGACTTTGTTTCAAGCCATACAATGGCTTTTTTTCGCAAACAAAACCTTCTTTACAGTCCAATCCGCGTGGTGGTTTCATGTCTATATTTTCTTCGAGTTCGCCATATAAGAAGGGAGTTTTTATGTCGAACAGCTCAAATTCATAATCTTTCATATTCGCAATGGCAAGCAACACTCTTGTTGAATCAAATCTTGTTGTTGGAGCATAAATCTCATTATAATTTAAAGTGCAACAAATGAGTGAACCTGTGTGGAAGGAATGCGGACAGAACCCTCCTGATTGGCCCGAAATTAAATATACATATACGCGGGTCGTCGCGTCAGGGTAACCGCAATTTTCGCAATGCACCACGTCGAGGACCCGTCGCGTCGTATAGTATAGGTTTTCGGCTTCCCCTCTGCTACTTCATACGTTCCAAGGTCCAAGGTTCACTCACTTGTCGCACTTTATGCTCTCCCTTTGTGCATATCTTTTAACGCCTTGTATCTTGAGACTGTGCCGTCTTAATTTCTTTAACTCGAAAAACCCACCTAGACTCTATAGGTTTCCTATTTTCTGGAGTTTTTACCATTATCCATGTGTTGTTCTTAGACAAAACATCATACTCTTCATTAATCGCCTCTTTCCATTTTTTAGTTTCTTTGCTCTTCATAGCATCATCAGAGAAGTCTGGAATGTCAATTTCTACATAGTTCAAGTGAAAATCATGATATGCGAACATTTCTCTGTCGTCTAAAGATCTGGCATTTCACGGTTTTCTCCAACATGCTCATAAGTTTCTTCTTGCTCGATTTCTTCCACTTCTTGTTGAACCTGATTTCCAACTTCTACTTCCACTTCGCTAAAATCAATTACGTCATCATTAACAATTTCTATTTTCAATGTGTTCATACCACTTTGCCTATTTTCATTAAACACCACATTTCTTGAAATAATAACTTTTCTTGTTATGGGATTGAAAAGTTCGTAGAATTTCTATCATATCCATAATGAACATGAGTTTTTCGCTTTTTGTGGAGGGGAATACGACGTTGTTACCTCATGTTCTATACCTTCTTCGCTTGAGTAGTTTTTGATATCACTACTCGGTGCCACCGTCAGTAGCAGTACCTATGCAAAACTTTTACCGAATATCCAAATTTTGTTGTAATTTTTGCATTGAAACTCTTAAAGCACTCATACACGTCCGATTCGTGCTTACTAAAGTATACTACACGATAACCACTCTTTTCGTCTTTAAAAGTTACAAGGTATTATTCGTCGATTTTTAACTGACACTTTCCGTATGAGGAGCGAGGGGGTGTTTCATATGGCAAAAACAGGTGTAACGTCAGGTAACCAGCTCACATTCCGCCCGAGTATCAGATTAAAATCGACAGACAATATCTCATTCCTTTTACCGAAGGAGTTGCAATAGGCCCGCACACATCACTGTAGATTCTCTCACCGATCCCTAGTTTCATATGTTCTTGATTTTCCTTAAAGGGCATTTTATGCTGTTTCCCCATTAGGAAAGACTCTTAGAAAAAAATTCTCAACATCACTAAAGTTTACACCTGCAACCAA